GTCGGCTATAGTCAAGGCTGGGGCCGAGGGAGAGGTAGGAGCAGGTGTAACGCCAGGACGCTGGGCAGTTCCCGCCTTCGGGTGTGACTGTGTGGTGCTGGGGGGTGACGGGAAGGTGAGGACAAAGCTGTCCGTGTGGCTAGCATCCTGCAGAAGGCCTGGCTGGATTCTGGAGAACTTCCAACCAACACACCTGCCCCAGAGCGAGTGGCCAGAGGCCTCCCATCACAGAGACCCGGGGGGAAAGCGTGAGGTCGCAGCTACCGTCAAGAAGCCGGGTTCCTCTGAATAGCAAGGACGGACGCCCAGCCCCGTGGCAGCTGGCAGCCGCTTGGACAGAAGTTTATCACGGGCTTCACTGAGTTCCTGAAGCACAAGCCCCTTTCCCGGGAGTCCGGGGAAGCAGCGGCAGCCATATTCATTCCACACTGTATTTACTGGACAACCGTGATGTGCTGAGCTCCGAGGTGGTACTTAGCACAGGTTGCAAAAAGGACTCAGATAGCCCTGGCTGGGTGGCTCCGTGGGTTGGAGCACCATGGGGAACAGCAAAAGGTGCAGGTCTGATTCCTAGTCAGGGCACCTCCCTGGGTTGCCGGTTCAGTCCCCAGTCAGGGTGTGTGCAGGAGGGTGGTGACCCATCGATGTGTCTCTCTCTCTCACACCCGGAGTTTCTCTCTCTCTTTCTCGCTCCCTCCCTTCCTCTCTCTAAGATCCATAGAACAAACAGCCAAAACCATTTGCTATTTCTCTGTTACTAAGGGTCAAGAGCTCAGGAGGCATGGTACACAGGGACCTCTGGCTCAAGGCCTCTTGGGGGAGGGTCGTCAAGCTGTCACCCAGGGGTGTGGCCTCGCCGCCGGGAGCTGTGTCCCAGCTCACTCCCGTGGTTGTGGTGGAGCTGTACACTCCCGCGTGGGAACACAACTGTCTGAAGCAGAACAAGGTCCTGAAAAGCATATCGTTAAGGCTATTGATGTCCTTCCAGGGGAAGGGGAGGGCTTTGGGAGGAGAGAGCACAGAAGTAGGTTCCACGGGGCAGGGTTGGGAAGTGAGTGCTTGTTTTATTTTCGTGCTTCCTAGCTTTGCATCGCAGGACACGCGTTTCTGGTTTCTTCCTCTCAGGCTTGATTCTATGTCTGTGTTATGAGCATTATAGGCAGGCGTGCGCTTTAGAGTCAGTTGTCCTTCCCGTTCACCTTTCTCCGGAGCTTGACTACATTTTCCTCAGAGACCTTGAACCGGAGGTACACAGACAGGCTGCCCCTGGGTTCCTGACCCAATGCCACCGGGGTGAAATAGCCAATGATATTTAAGCTGCTACGTCCTAGGGCAACGTGTTGTTCAGCCACAGAGAACCAATCTTTTTGACTGTCTTTTGCTAATTGTTTACCTTCTTGTCTTGCTCCCCCCCCCCCTTTTTTAAAAAAATATATTTTTATTGATATTTTACAGAGAGGAAGGGAGAGAGATAGAGAGCTAGAAACGTCGATGAGAGAGAAATATTGACCAGTTGCCTGTGGCACACCCCCCACTGTGGATGTGCCCACAACCAGTGTACATGCCCTGTACCGGAATCGAACCTGGGACCTTTCAGTCAGTCTGTAGATCGAAGCTCTACCGCTGAGCCAAACCGGTTTCGGCTGTCTTGCTCCTTTTTGATGCATAAGTTTTGGCATCACCTGTTCCCGCCCCTCCCGGGAAGATGAGTTAGTTGGCTTCCCTTCCGCCCCTTGAACTCATCCTGACCCCCATTCTCCTTTCATCGTTATATTATAATTCTGGTTAGATCAGTAATCACTGTTTGCATTACTCGGTCAGCACTAATTTGACTCTAATCATAGTTGAGCCTTTGTCTTCAAGGATGAAAACTTCTCTTTTCCCACAGAAGTTTTATTATATTTTATAAAATATATTTTATTGATTTTGTACGGAGAGGAAGGGAGAGAGATAGAGAGTTAGAAACATCGATGAGAGAGAGTCATCAATCAGCTGCCTCTTGCACACCCCCTACTGGGGATATGCCTGCAACCAAGGTACATGCCCTTGACCGGAATCGAACCCGGGACCCTTTAGTCCCCAAGCCGACGCTCTATCCATTGAGCCAAACCGGTCCTGGCAGAAGTTTTATTTTATTAGATTCTGGTTAATCGCCACGTTTGTTCATTTGCTCACTTTTCTATGTATCGATCCCTCATTTAACTCCAAATGCTGGCGGTTGTCTGACTCTCTTCTCCAGGTGTTTAGGCACATCCTGTTTTCTAGCTATTCATCATCTTGGAGAAATGTCTCCGGAGTTCATACATGCTCCCATCTGGACGGGTGGCCCTCTGTGCCTGGTGCCTGGCCTTCACCCTGGGCCTCTTCCCACCGCCTGTCTCCTGTGCCCCCACCCCGGGGCTTTCTTCTTTGGGGCTTACTCCTTTGTTTGGGTGACGCCCTCCCTCTCCTTTTCCTTCTCCCTCTCCCTCTACTTCTTCCTCTCCCTCTCCTTCTCCCTCTGCTTCTCCCTCTCCTTCTCCCTTTCCCTCTCCCTCTGCTTCTCCCTCTCCTTCTCCCTCTCCCTCTCTCTCCTTCTCCCTCCCTCTCTTTCTCCCTAGAAGCTCCATAGAATCACCCCCTCTCCCTGGTGTTCTGAAATTTCACAATAATGTGTCTTGGTCTGACACATTATTTTCATCCACTTTGCTAGGGATGGTGGGCTCTTGATCTAGAAACTTGTGTCCTTCGCTTATGGGAAAATTTTTAAAAATTATGTATTTACTTCTTCTCCTTCATTCTCTGTCTCCTTTCCCTCCTCCTTTTTGCCCGGTTCTCTCTTTCTGACGCTATTAATATTTGAGTTGGTAGACTCATTTTCTATTTTCTCTCCTCTTTTCACTTCTGTCTCTATCTTCTGGGAGCCTTCCTCGATTTATCCCCCAGCCCTCCAGGAAAAGTTTTTGGTATAGCACGCCGTGCTTGTCTCACGGGTTCCCTGTCTCGTTTTATCCCTTTTACAATGTTAATTATAGGATTTCTTCAAGCGTTCTCTGCGAATGATCTGTATCGGATCCAGGGCTCTGTTTCTTTGTTTCATCGGCTGGTTTGGCGTGTGTCTTGAATGCTAGAGACATTACTCAGCTGTCTGGGGATTCCTGGGTCTCTGTGGTTTTTAAAAGCAGGGAACTAACAAGGCTAGTCGTAGAGGGATCCGAGAAGGGGGCAAAAGCAGCTTGTGTGTTTAATCTGTCATCTTTATACCATCATACATTTCTTTCATAATATTAAAAAGTGAGCAACCATAGTCTACACCCTAATGATAAATGAATAAGCATAATAATCGACCCAACCTCCTCCCCCCACAATTTCTCCTTAAGCCCCCCTAAAAAATTCTCACGCCGAAACCGGTTTGGCTCAGTGGATAGAGCATCAGCCTGTGGACTGAAAGGTCCTAGGTTCGATTACGGTCAAAGGCATGTACCTTGGTTGCGGGCACATCCCCAGTAGGGGGCGTACAAGAGACAGCTGATCAATGTTTCTGGTTTTCTATCCCTCTCTCTTCCTCTCTGTAAAAACTCAATAAAATATATTTTAAAAGAAAAAAAATTCTCAATTGTAAAAAAAATAGCATGAAATCTGTATGTGAATTTGTGACAAGTGTAAACCACTCTAGAATTGTGAATAGGTTCGGATGTAATTCCTGCCTCCTCCCCACTCCCACAGTATGAATCACCAGGCCTGCTCTCTTGCGCATCACTTCCTGCTTGGCGAGTCCCCCGTGAGTCTTGTCTGTGACGCTGCCCCAGGTCAGGGAGTGCAGGGTGTCTGTCTGACTCGGCATCTTCCAGAGCAGCGGCCGCCAGCCTTTCGGACCTCACGGCCCCCCAGGGGCCTGGGGGCCACCGGTCGGCGACCACTGCTCTACAGCCCCCTCCCGAGGACAGAGATGGGTGAAGCGTTACAATGAATGAGTGACACCCTTCAGATCTCCTTCCTCTCTCCTCACACACATAGTTAGCACCAGTCGGTTTTATATGGTGAACGAACAGGAAACCCGAAAGGAATGAAAGGGGATTTAGAGGAAAATAAAGCAGTAAATCAAACACCAGCCTTAGGAAAAGAGAGAGGACGTGCTGCCGTGTGCTTAACGCCACTCTGGGCTCTGCCTGGGCTGAGCACTGTGGGTAATATTCCTATCCTCCCATTGCTGAGCACTGTGGGTAATATTCCTTAATCCAGTTGGCTCCTTCCAGGCGGGGCAGCCACGAGGCCCTGGAGGTATAGACACCCCTCAGCAGGGAGCCCAGCACCCCAGGACACAGCTCTTGAGAACCCATCAGGCCCCCCCACCCCACCCCCAGACGCCGGGAGGAGCCAGTGTTGGGGATCCATCAACCTTCAGGAAATTGCCAAATATGTTTGGTGACTTTTTTTTTTAAAGTGACAATGAAGCACTTTTTTTATTGTTTAAAGTATTACATATATTAGTACATATATCTCATTCCCCCCCCCAATTGACCCCAGCCTCCCCTAACCCCTGTCACATACCTTCATCCCCCTCCCCCAGGGTCTTGTGTATGTTTGGTGGGTTATTTATTTATTTATTTATTTATTTTTACATTTTCCCTGTCCAGGAGCTTGTGCTTTCAAATTAATCACATCCACGTGCATTTAGACTGTGGGTTGAAAGGGGGAAAAAAATCTAAATTGTATTACGTCATGATTTCATCCAAAGCTGTGTTACCCGCACCAAAGGGACACCTCCAATCTGGTACAAAGCACTTACCTCTGGGATAGGCCTGTTTGGGGGGGGGGGGTAGCCGCAGGCAGGACCGGGGCGGGCAGCGGGCAGCGTCCTGGCACCTGCAGCCGCCTAAGGAGACCTCCGCGTCGCCATGGCTGCCGCTTCCGCCCCAGCGCAGGCACGTGGTCTCGCCTCCTCCCCCGCGAGGATGTGCCCGCAGCCCGTGCCCGGCAACGGTGGCTCCTCCCACTGACGCCTGTCTCCCCCTCGGCAGGTACCATGACCAGCAGGACGTGACTAGTAACTTCCTGGGGGCCATGTGGCTCATCTCCATCACATTCCTCTCCATCGGCTACGGGGACATGGTGCCCCACACGTACTGTGGGAAAGGCGTGTGCCTGCTCACCGGCATCATGGTGAGTACCCGCCCGCCCCGCCGTCCCCTCCCCGCCCTCCGAGGGAGCAGAGGGGCCTCTCCGGTCGGTCGGGGGGCCGGGCAGCTCTCGTCCACACACCGGCGTGCCGTGCATGTCTGTGCACTCAGAGGCCGATGCGAATCCACACGGTTCCTCACGCTCATGTTTCCTTTGCCAAGGCAGAGACAGGTCTGGCTCCTGACATTGATGGTCTCTTAAAGCCCCCACCTTCTGTCCACGCCCCCCCCCCCAAAAAAAAACAAAACAACCCGGGCTGGGTGAAGCTAACCATGGGTCTGACCCCCCTTCCTACCCTCCACCACTGGACGGCCCAGGGTGCTCCCTTCCCCCTCCCCCCCTGTGAGCATCTGCTAACCGGAGCTGAGCTCAGGGAGGCGGGGACAGGGACCGGGAAAGCGCTGAGAGGCCGCCCGGGGCCTGCAGGGGACTGGGCGCCGCTGGTGGGGAGAAAGCCCTCGGCTTCTCCAGATGTTGGTTCCCAGCTCTGCCTGTGGGGGCGCTGGGCTCCCAGTGCCAGGTCTCTCCCAGCTCTGGCATCAGCGGGACTGTGACTCCCTCCCCAACCCCATCCCCCTGCAGGTGCCCAGCGGCTGGGCTGCATCCGTCACCTGCCGCCCCCACCCAACACCACCCTCGCCCATCACAGGGCCCTCCCTGGAAGCTCCGTGTGAGGGAGGGCCTGGAGGGGGCGTCAGACGCAGGGTCTGAATTCCCACGTTGGTCCTCTGGGCAGGGAGGGCACTCAGCCTGCTGGGCCTCAGCGTTCCCGAGTGCAGAGCGAGGATGGAAGGCCCGCCCCGCCCCGCCCCGCCCTCCCCGGGGATGGCGATGCCCTAGTCAGTGGTCAGCAAACCCATTCGTCCACAGAGCCGAATACCAACAGGACAACGACTGAAGTTTCTTTGGAGAGCCAAAAATTTTAAGCGTAAACTGCTTCTAACGCCACTTCTTCAACATAGACTCGCCCAGGCCGCGGTCTTTTGTGGAAGAGCCACCCTCAAGGGGCCAAAAGGGCCGCATGTGGCTCGCAACCACGGCTCTGGGGGAACGTGCTCCGTCAGCATGAGGAGCTGCACACGCTGTCCAGGTCCTCGCATCCCCGGCCTCCACCCCGCCTTCCCTGGCGGGGGATGAGCCTCCTGGGCCTTGCTGGGCTTTAGGTCCGGGCCAGGCAGCCACCGCTCCTGGGTCTCCTTCCTAGAACCCTAGACACAGGCCCAGAGGAGAAAGCACCGCAGCCCGGGCGCCGTGGGGGTCCCGGGGGGTGGGGGGTGAGGGTGGACAGGGTGCCGGGAGCTGTCCCCGACCTCGGTGGGTGGCTGCCCAGCCCTCCCCAGGGGAGCCCTCTCTGCAGCCCCATTATCCCCCTGGGGGAGAGCCTTCCCTCAGTGCCCCCAGGTTCCACCCATCCTCTCGGGGGAGAGCCTTCCCTCAGTGCCCCCAGGTTCCACCCATCCTCCCGGGAGGAAAAGTGGCGCCTGCGGAAATGAAAAGGGATTAACTCCTCACCAGAGGCTGCCCACTCCCACCCCCGCGGCCTGGGGGCCTCCCGGGACTGGTCACGTGTCAGGGCCGCGGAGGGCAGAGAGAGGCCTGGGCAGTGGCTCTGTGAGCGGGAGGGCCCGGGGCACAGCCTCTCCCTTTGCCCCCGGAGCCCAGGCCAGGAGCACCGGCAGGCGGCACTCCTGCAGGGCGTGAGCGACGGGTCCTCCCGGTGGCAGTAGGAGGCTGCCTGGCGCCCCGCCAGCTGTCACCAGGAGACGGGGAGCCATCGTTCTTCCAGAAAGGATGGAGGCCGCGCCCTCCCGGCTCAGAGCCCCTCCTGGGCCGTGGGCTCCTGCCTCAGGCGGCGCTGAGCTGGGGCGCACGGAGCAGGCGGGCGGGCGGGCGGGCGGAGGGGTGGGTGGCCGGAGGTGGAGGGACCTGCTGGGAGCCTCTGTTATTTTTAAATGCCAGCCATTCTCCCTCTCGGCAAGGAGCTGCGCCCCATCCAAGAAGCGGCCCCCTCGCCGCCATCTCCCTGTCTCCTCCCCTCCGGCAGGCACCTGGGGCTTCCACCATGACAAAGCGGAGAGGCAGGCCGGCCCGGCCCCTCCGGGCCTTCTCCTCAGAGGGTGGCTGTCAGCACCCTGTTTGCTCCGGTTAGCTCCGCAGCAGCCCCCTGGGAGGGAGCACGGCTCCTTGCCCAGAGAGTGGTGATCAAAGTGGGAAGGATGGACGGACAGACGGATGATCACCTCCCACATGAAAACCACAACCCAAGGTCCATCTTCTCCTTTTGCATGGAGGCCGGTGCACAAGCCTATACCTCCCTCCACACCAGAGCGGCCAGGCGCCCTCCACGCACCTCAGGGTTCTCACCCACATTAAAGCCGTGGCTGCCCTCGGGGGTCAGCCCCAGTGTGGAGCCCCAGGGCCGGTTTCCTAACGGACGTGACCTTTCTAGCGGAGCCAGTCCTTTCCAAGAGCTTCTCTCGCCCCCTCCCCGCCTCCCCGCACCGTGCGCCTCTCGGAATCACTCCTGCCAGCAACTGAGCGAAAGGTACCGCTTCCTGTTTGGTTGCCATGGACACCGTGCAGGCCAGGACGAGGCCTGCCTGGGAAGGGAGAGGCGAGATTTGTGTGTGCGGGCCCGTCAGTAGTCTTAATCATTGTTTTCTCTCGGCAATCCCCCCGTAACGGGGTAATTACCCGCCATTAGGCAGGGTGTGCAATTGTCTGAGCCGCCTGACGCTGCTGGCGCAGCCCTCGCGTGCCTGGGAGCCTCCCGCCGCAGGCGCGGGGTGAGGGGGCCCGCCAGGAAGGGTGCGATGACCGCTCCCACGCGGACAGAGGGCTCCCCACGCCTTCGCCTCCGGACTTGGAAACCACGGCACCCCTCGCCACCAGGCCCTCAGCGGCCGTGTGCGTCTGCGGGCATCGGGGACACCTTTGGGGGGTCCCCAAGACAGCTCCGTAGGAACCCTGTTTCAGCGGAGCCGTCTCCTAAAGCTGGACTCGCTCGTGGGCCTCTCCTACGCTCTGGACAGAGGCCGGAGCTCCCGGGGCGTCCCCCGGGGACCCCTAGCTTCCCCCAGGCTGCGGGAGGGACGCGCCTCTGAACTGGAAAGGAAAGCTGTGATGAAGCACCAGGTGGAACAAATCGAGTCACTGGGGGAGGAGGGAGGGAGGGAAGGAAGGAGGGGAGGGCGCAGCCCGACATCTGCTTCATGTCAGCTCCAGAGGAGCCTCTCCCCGAAACACCTTGGTTTCAGACCAATGGATGTTATTTTGGTTGTTACACGGAACCCGCGGCAGAAATAGAACCTGCCCCGCCGGCGCGCCCTCCAGGCTTCCCTCCTCCATTCGTCACTTTCATTTATGTTTTCTCTTCTTCTCCTGCTCCTTCAGGGAGGAACACCTCATCCCCCCCCCCCCCCCCCCGCCCCGGGACACGTGTTTTTCCAGAGCCTAAGGTTTTCCAGCTGGAAAGTGTGTCTTGGGAACAAGAAGAGGGAGGAGAGGCGTAGGGGAGCCTGGGTCTCTGATTTGGGTCCAACTCCGTGGATGAGTTAGGCCTGTTCACCCCCCTGGCAGCCTCTCCTCTCCTCTCCTCTCCTCTCCTCTCCTCTCCTCTCCTCTCCTCTCCTCTCCTCTCCTCTCCTCTCCTCTCCTCTCCTCTCCCTCTCCTCTCCCTCTCCTCTCCCTCTCCTCTCCCTCTCCTCTCCCTCTCCTCTCCCTCTCCTCTCCCTCTCCTCTCCTCTCTCTCCTCACTCACTCCTGTGTTCCTGCTCATCCTGTACCCCGGACAGTGTGATCTCATTTGAGGTGGACCCTTCCTCCTCCTCCTCCTCCCACTCTCCCGGGGAACGAGGAGTCAGAGACGGCCCGGGGGATCCAGCTGGTGTCCACTGTGACCCAGGGCTTGGCGCGTCCGAAGGCAGCGGGCTGAGTCACGGATTATCTCCACAGGCTGACCCCGTGGAAGTCACACCGGCAGCTGCTGGCCCCTGTCTGTCTGCCCCCGTCCACGCTCTCCGCACACACCCCCCCTGTCCGCCAGCCATTGCTGAGATTCCACCGAGGACGGCATGCACCGTCCCATCCCAAACCAGCCCAGTCCTTGGCAATTTGTCTCTTCATGCCCGCCCGCCTCAGGGCCAAATCCCACAGGGATTCCCGGGCTGCCCCTGTGGGGACGTCACACTGACGAGCTGTAACGGGAAAAGCTGTCAGGAAAAAGGGCTGTGACCCCCAGAGGAGCACGGGTGACCATTATACCACTGGGAGGTGAGGCGACAGCAGGGAGGGGTCCCCGGACACTTCCTCTGTCTCCTCTGAGGAGCCCAAGTTGGCCAGTAACTGCACTCAAGCCTTAGGCGCCTTGTTCTCCTGCCTTCCTTGCTCAGCCCCATGGGCTCTGGATGCCTCTGCTCCTTCCTTCCCTCTTTCCCTCTTCTGCCCATGCTGTTAGGATGGAGCACAACTTCTTCCCCATCACGGCCTCTCTCTCTCTCTCTCTATCTCTATCTCTATCTCCATCCCCTCTCTTTCCTTCCCTTCCCCTTTGCTTCCCCCTCATATCTCTCTCTCTCTCTCTCTCCATCCTCTCTCTTTCCTTCCCTTCCCCTTTGCTTCCCCCTCATCTCCCTCCCTCTCTCTCTCTCTCCCCTCCCCCCCAGTGTGGATCTCAGCACACTGCCCACCACCTTCTGAGGGCTGCGGATGTCCGGCCCCATCTTTACACTGCTGCTTCTTCATGGAAATGACCAAGCAAGGCTTCCTCCTTGGCTACTTCCTGAATCACATCCACATGATGGATTTCCTAAAAGAAAAACAAAGCCGGGCATAGCTGCTGCTCTCTCTTCAAGTTAGAATCAGGGGTCAAGAGCCCAGCCTCCTCCAGAGAGACATCTCTGCGGGAGTGTTGACATTTCTGAACAGAAAGAAACCGGGAAGCATCATCTCGTCCAGCCTCCCGCCTCCGAGCAGGAATCCATCTCAGACACAGGCAGGGACTGTTTCCCGGTGGAAAGAAACACCCCAGCTCCTCAGGAGAAGGCCCCGCTTCAGGCTGCTGTGCCGTGAGCGATACAGCCTGACCCTGGGGGTGCGGGAAGGCGGAGGAGAGAGGGTTTGGATGAAATTCCCCAAGTGGCACGGTGAGCAGGGCTGCTCCTTCAGGCTGGCTCTGCCCCCAGCTCTCAGGGGTGACTGAAGCCGAGTGTTGCCTGGACTCGGGGAGAGGAGGGAGGATGGAGCCTGGGAGAGCCGGCTCCCTCTGATGTTCCCTCTTTACCACCGTGATGCTCGTGTGCCCCTCGTTTTGGGCCTTCAGCCCCACATACCTTTGGAACTCCGATAAAGGAGGGTGATTAGACTCCATCTGGTGGAGCGGAACGGAGCACACCTATGGCCGCTAGGACAGCTCCCTTTAAGGTTTTGTTTTGTTTTGTTTTGTTTTGTTTGGAGGCCTGGCTAACTTCATGACAGCTATAGACCAGGCCGCCCAGATACCCATACGTCCCCTTTGAAAAGCGGGCACTGAGTCTCTCCTCAGTGACAGAGGCCAAGGGGACACGGCCGCCCGGGAACCAGAGAGGAAATCGAGGTCAGCGAAGAAAGGCTCCGTTTGTTGTGCTATAAATGGGTGGCCCCTGGGTGGCTGACCGAACGCTCAAATGTGCCGGGAAACAAGAGATTGTTTTCATGGGAACCTGGTGCAAAGCTGCGGGAAGCTCTGCCACCCTCAGCCATGCCTGCCAGACCCCCCCCCCACCCCGGCCTCTGCCAACCTGCAGAAAAGGGAGGAACGATGGCCACGGAGACTGTAGGCACGGATCTACCCCGTCCCCCCCCCCCCCCAACCTCCGACTCGGGCACAGACCGTGCGCCTTGGAGAACATCCTTCCCCGTTTCCCACGCAGCCGGGGAGACCGATGAGCCAGAGCTGTCACTGATCGAGCCCCTCAGCCCTTGGACCTTCCTACTAAGCTGGGCTCCATGGCCACGCTATTGCTGCCGCCGCCGAGGATTAGACCGTTGGCTTTGCTCAGCTTGTCATCCATCTCCTTCCATGCGTGGAGGTCAGGCGGGGCCGGGCGGCCGGCAGGAAGAGGGCAGCGGCTGCAGGGGAGGTGTGAGCTCAGACAGGCCTGCGTGCGCCCAGAGGGTCAGGAGCGAGCATGCGTCCGGGAAACCTGCTTCTTTTACTCCTTCCTCCCTCTTCCCCTGCAGTGGACCGACCTGGGCAGGATCGGAAAGCTGCTATAGAAATACTGACACTCCCCCCCCCACTCCCCACCAGTGAATTCACTTAAAAGCTTGGCCGGAGGCAAAATTGCCAGCATCTTTAAAAATTTCCGCATGCATGCTGAAACCGGTCTGGCTCAGTGGTAGAGCGTCCGCCTGCAGACTGAAAGGTCCCAGGTTCGATTCCGGTCAAGGGCATGTACCTTGGTTGCGGGCACATCCCCGGTGGGGTGCCGTGCAAGAGGCAGCTGGTTGATGTTTCTCTCTCATCGACGTTTCTAGCTCTCTATCTCTCTCCCTTCCTCTCTGTAAAAAAATCAATAAAATATATTTTAAAAAATCTCCGCATGCAGTGGATTCAGCCACCTAGGGGAAGCAAGAAAGAATCACTTCCTTGTGCTGAGTCAGAGCTTAGAGCCGTGGTCGGCAAACTGCGGCTCGCCAGCCACATGCGGCTCTCTGGCCCCTTGAAGGTGGCTCTTCCACAAAAGACCACGGCCTGGGCGAGTCTATGTTGAAGAAGTGGCGTTAGAAGATGTTTCCGTTTAAAAAATTGTGGCTCTCAAAAGAAATTTCAGCCGTTGTCCTGTTGCTGTTTAGCTCTGGCGACGCATGCGTTTGCCAACCACTGGCCTACACCTTCTGGTAAAAAGCCCCACCTGAGTGGAGAGAACAGACTCTGGCCAACCAGTGTCCCCTGGAAGGCGATCGAGGGGGGATGTGTTCCCTCTTTCTGAGATTATTTTCAGGGGGGGGGAAACAAAACAAAAAACAACAACAAACGCTTTGCCAGCAGCAGCCATGCTCCCCCGTGGGTGCGGCTCTCCTCCCGGCCCCTGGTCTGGGAGTGGCAGCGGGATTGGGGCACGCCTGAGGGAGAGGGGCCTGCGTGTGCCGGCCCGCCGTGCTCCCGGCACAGCCTGGCCAGTGGCCATGTGATTGGACATTAAGTTCCCCGAGAGCTCCAGCCCCGGTGGAGTTCTGCTCCGCTAAGAACTGGTTTCATGAGGACCCGTCTCTGCCGCCGAGCGGTGCAGAGCTGCTCGGGAAGCGGGGCCAGCAGGCTGGGGGCTTTGGCCGGCCACCGAGCTCAGGGCCCCGCTCCACCCCCGGAGCCCCACATATCCCGTCGAACCTCGCCTCGTAATGACGTGCTCTCTCCCCGTCCCCCTGCTGTTCCCCCACAGGGCGCGGGCTGCACGGCCCTGGTGGTGGCCGTGGTGGCCCGGAAGCTGGAGCTCACCAAGGCGGAGAAGCACGTGCACAACTTCATGATGGACACGCAGCTCACCAAACGGGTAAAGCACCGCCGCTCACGCCTGCCCGGGGGGCGTGGCACCCACGTGGGAGCCGCGCGGGAAGGCGGTGGTCACGGGGTGTGGAGCAGGGTGGTGACTCTTTGCAGCGCAGGCCAGAGGGAGCCCCAGGCCTCTGCGAACAGCCTCCACCCAACGGGCAAATGCCCGGCCCTCCCGGTCCCATCTTGTGCTCCACGGCCGTGCGTGGCTCCAACAACCAAATCGCATTCCCAGCAGTTACAGGCAAAGCACACGGCGGTGCCACCCGGTCCCTGGCCTCGTGGTAATTGAATAAATCACCCAGCGTGAGGCAATGGTTTTGTTGATGCTCAAATATTTTCATTTAGGAAGGGCAGTCGAGAGCCTCACGCACGAAATTGGACTGTATCTGCATCCAGGCCTTTTCCAGAATGTCATTAAAGACGGTCAGCGCTGTAGGGCTCACGTTCCCAACAGTGTCAGCGGCCGGCTCTGCCCTCCCGGTTCTCCAGCTAACGTTTTCCACTGTGCCCTGTGCGAGTGGCTCAGAGGGATGAACGGTGGGGATGTGCAGGAAGGGGGAGAGCACCGAGCCTGACACCCGCTGCCTTGTGAGGGAAGAAAAGGCCCATTTAGAAGAGGCGGAAGCAGGCAGGCGGGAGCCATGCCTGTCAGGACGGCGCGGATGGAGCCTTCTGTAGCGCTGCCGGCCGAACTGAAGGAAGGAGTCCCTACACAAGTTCCTCTTTCTTTCTTTCTTTTTTTAAAAAAAAATATTTCATTGATTTTTTAGAGAGAGGAATAGAGAGTTAGAAACATGGATCAGAGAGAAATATCGACCAGCTGCCTCTTGCACACCCCCTACTGGGGATGTGCCCGCAACCAAGGTACATGCCCTTGATCGGAATCAAACCCGGGACCTTTCAGTCTGCAGACCGACACTCTGTCCACTGAGCCAAACCAGTTTCGGCCAAGCTCCTCTTTCTGGATGAGTGAGAAGCCAGACCCTCTGTGCAGTCTTGGCTGCCATACCAAATGCTTCTCCTGTAGAACTGGAGTGGGTTAGAAGGCCCAACCGAATTTTGATTTTTTTAAAAAAGAATAATTTTATTCATTTCAGAAAGGAAGGAAAAGGGAGAGGGAGATAGAAACATCAAGGATGAGAGAGAATCATGGATCGGCGGCCTCCCGCAGGCCTCACACTGGGAATGGAGCCTGCAACCCACGCATGGGCCCTGACCGGGAATCGAACCATGACCTCCTGGTTCATCGGTTGACCCTCAGCCACCGAGCCATGCGGGCTGGGCTGATTTGGGTTTTTGAAAGCTAGAGGAAAATGCCAGTGACCAGTGTCACAGCACAGTGGAGATGTGTTAGAAACAGAGACGAAGGCGGGAGGGAAGAACAAAGGGAGAGGAGGGTGGCCGAGGATGAGCCAGCTCCCGGGGAAGGTAGGGGAGGGCGCACTGCTGCCAGGGCCTCTCCGGTTTCTCGGCAGAATTATTTATGGTGCATGATTATTTGGTCTTTGATTACACGTATCGGATTCTCTGAGAGCCTCCACAGATGTTAAAAGGAATGGGTACAGGCAACTATTCTGATGTTGGTGACATACCAGTGGCTGGTACAGCAGGTCCTTGGATAAGAAATGGATGTTTTCTTATAATGTTGCTGTCATGTCATCAGGACATTATTATTGTTTATGCTGAGGTAACATTGATTTTGGTGTGTTTTTTTTTAAAAATATATTTTATTGATTTCATAGAGGAAGGAAGAAGAAGAGGGAGAGGGAGAGAGAGAGAGAAATCAATGATGAGGATCATTGATTGGCTGCCTCCTGCATGCTCCTTGCTGGGGATCGAGCCCACAACCCAGCTATATGCCCTGACCAGGAATCAAACCATGACCTCCTGGTTCATAGTTCAAATGCTCAACCACTGAGTCACATAGATTTTGTTACACCTCATTTTGTCGCATATCTAAGAACCTGTCAGCAATGCTGAGGGAGGGTTTACTGTCTATGGTACCTGATGGGCCTGAGCTGCCCATTGTACAAAAGAGCACATATCTCATGACATCAAGATGGCAGGATGGTATCCAGGGGCAGGCCACCCGGGTCTCACCCACAGCCCCGGGGCCCGGCTGCTCTCGCTCAGCCCCGTGACTGTCACACAAGCAGAAATCAAGGGTAGACGCTGTACGTCATGTTGTCCCTCTGGCCTCCATTTTTCACTCCGTATATCAGACCCTGGAGGAAAGTAAAGCCGAGAAACGCCAGCTCCCTCCCATGACGGGAACATAAACAATTCTTCTGCAGCACGATGGCAAAGGAGAATGAGATGACGGTGGCTAATTCCAGTCTTTCAGAAACGATTTTCCACCCTCCTCCTGAGGTCAGCCCACTTCCCCCTTGAAAAGTAAGGCCTGCGACTCAAACCAACAAACATCTATTGCTCATTCCTGAGCGCAAGGCACCGTTCTAATCGAATAACGTCTCGCTTCTCTGAAAACTCTTCATCTGTTGCGATGTCCCTTCCGTGTCCAGTATTTTCCCCCAGAGAACCGAGTGGCACAAACGCAATGGTCTGGCAGAGAGGTGTTTGCAAAGCCGGAGGGGCTGGGACTCCCAGAGGCTCCGGGACAACCTTGCGTGAGGAGCCCGGCCACAGGCCCGGCCCGCTCGGAGAAGCCCGCCTTCCTCTGCCCGGGTCACCTCGTCTGTCCTCCGTCCCCTCCCCGTGGCCCAGCGAGCCCAGCCGGAGCGGCTCAGGGTCGGAGCAGTGCTAGGCTCCATCTATTCCTAAGGTCTCAGAGAAGCATCCGGTCGTGGGAGGAACCAGCTGTGACTCTGAGGAGCGGACTGTTCAGTCTCACAGTTCAAAGTCACCTCTTCCACGTGCCTGCGACTTTCATTCCTCAGACAACTAAACGAGAGAGGGAGAAAGAGAGAGAAAGAAAGAGAGAGAGAGAGAGAGAGAGAGAGAGAGAGAGAGAGAGAGAACTGTAACGTATGAATCATAAACACACTCAGCTTGTCCCAGGGTTTGAGGATCCTGACTTTGCCACGAGAGTCCCACGATTTTTATGTTTGTCGGTGGGGAGGGAGAACTCCGTTTCTGGTTCTCCCCAGCTCTCCTTCTTCTTCCACGTGTATAACTGGTCACCCTGACGCAGCATCCTGTCTGTCTTCACCCCCTCGGGTCTTCTCACACGGACTTTGCAGGTGACCGCTGTGGCTATTCTGTAATTACTGAATAGAGCACTGCCGTCTGCTAGGCCATCAGAGACCATGCGTGTAAATGGCACGCAGAGCGACTGTGAGGAAGGTGCTAGTTCCCCATCTTTCCTCCCCATCGGCGCTCCGGGTCCCCATCTCTCTGTCATGTAACGAAACGCCTCCATCACAGGCCACCTGCTGGCCGCCATGCTTTGTGTCCCTGCCCTCCTCCTCACTGCCCGCCCTCACAGAGCACCTCTCTGCCAACGGCAAGGTACGCTGCCCAGAGACACCCGCATGGCTAAGAGGCACCACGGACAGGAGCCGTTCTCCTTGCCACACCTTCTCCTCACGGCCCCGGCGTGCGCCACCGGCTGAGGACTGTGTCTCTTTATCCTCACCACAGGGGTTCTTGCTCCCAATACTTCATCCTAGTACCTTTCCCCCGTGACACCATACCCAGATCTTCTCTCATTAGTTCCTTCTCCTGACTTCCCTGGTCAGCTCATGGTGTCACTGTTCCCCCAGGCCTGAGAAGCCAGTACCATCTGGACCCTCAGGGCCGCCAGCAATTTCCGAGCCTGATTTGACCTTGCCATGGCGTCAGCTGTTCATGCCCGCCGGCCTCTCCGGGCCTCTGTCCCGCTATGCCTGACGCCACCATCGCCTCGGTCTTGCACCATCACCGCCCTAACCCGGTCATCCTCACGTGACCTTCCTGTGGGTCTCCTCAGACTCTGAGGCTTAGCTCTGCTCAGAAACCTTTGGCCATCCCTGTATACCTGCTGACCAGAACGAAAGAAAACGTTTAATTATGAGCATAGGTCAACGCGTTATCACAGGCCTGCTGGGCAAAGCAGACTTTGTGTGTGTGTGTTTTTCTGATTCCAAGAATTACTCGTGGTCAGGTCTTTTCCAGGAAAAGATAGGCTGTCATTGCTGTTCCGGGCGCAGAAAGTCTGGTTCGGGGACACTCGATTTGTGGCTGACAACTGGTTGGTCCCAAGAGTGGATTCCTACAACAGGTCTTAATCTCTTTAACATTCATCCTAGAATCGATGGAGCAGTCGTCAGGAATGCTGATTCTCCTCAGAAGGGGGCTGTACATGCTACTCCCCACAAGAGTTCTGTCCCCAACAGGGGTAGGACCGTAGTCATAGAAACAGCGTTTGAGCTGGGAGCATCCTAGGCAGCTGCCTCTCCGGCCCAGTGAGGATAAGTGTGGCCGGGCCATCAGGCTAGCCGGCTGCTCGCCGGTCCTCGCCGGGGCTGCAGCTTGTGCCCAGGCCTGCGGGCAGCTCCCAGCCATCGCCCGGTGGGTTTTCCAGAGCAGTCAGCTCCTTGGAACTCAGCATGGTGGTTAGGGCTCTGGGCCTGCTGGAGAGAAAAGCCGGTGTACCTCCGAACTTGCTGGGCATCAGGTGACTATCATATAGAAATAGCCACCACTCGTTGCCATGCTGCTGTGGCAGCTTCAGACTCCAGCTCTGAACCACAGAAATGCAGCTCTTCTCGCTCCCCCCCTCTCACCTCCGATTTCCTCCCATTTCATCAGCACGACAACCCCATCTCGCAGCTCTGTCGCACTTGCATCCTCTCTTGACAGCTCCCTGCTGTATGTTTCTCTGCTGTTCCGTTACAAACGGCACGCCGTCCCCACAAGATGACACACTCCGAGAGGGCTCGCGTGTTATGGGGCTGTGCGCCTTGGTGTTCTTACTTCCTGGGACAGTGTTCTTGGCAATGGTTTTGTGAAGGAGAAGGAATGAGAAAACGGAGTCTCGGAGAGACTTCGCAGCAGGTCCAAGGAGGAGACCGTGATTGCACCCACTGGGGAGGCTTTCCGGAGAGCAAATAAGACACCGCAGACACGGAGTGTCTCGCACGGAGAGCCTGGCACGCAGTGAGCGCTCGGCAAGCGTTGCCATCGCTGCTACTTGCAAGGTCTTCTCTGGATGACTTCCTTGCTCAACCCCATTAGTCTTAAAGCCCTTCCCGGAGCATGTGGGTCACGGAGCCCATCTGGCATCCATCAGCATGAAAGCATCCTTTTTTTTTTTTTTTTTCTTTTTCTGGAGAACCTCTGGAGAGAAAATGATCAGCTTGTAGGCTTATGGATTGGGAGAACAGAATAGCCCCCCTTCCACACACAAAGGTAAAATTCTACCCCTTTCTGACCCCGTCTGACCATGGCCGGCCTTGTTCAGTTTCTCCCAGCGCCCTGACCCATCCCGCCCCCAGGAGCACCCCTGGCCCTGGTGCCCCCGTCTCCCGGGAGAGCTCAGAGGGCACCCCGGCCCCATCTGGGGCTCAGCGAACCTCAGATGGGGGCTCCGCTGCTCCCCATCCTAACGATGCTCATCTGCCAGGTGCACTGAAGGGAGACCCTGGTCCCAGGAGCAGTTACGGTCATCCTGGGAGCGCACAGAGCAGTTAAAAGCCTGTTTCTTTTTCTGTCGCAGACATTGATCTCCGTAGCTTTGGGCCAGGCTGCTTGCCGGCAGTTCCTTTCAGAGCCAGCACCAAAGCTCGCCGTTTGCGTCAGTTTCCCCAACACACACGGGGGCCTCCTGTGCAGACCCGTAATGGCAACACAGCTGCCTCTCTCTGCCGTCCGGGCCGCGCTGGGAGTCCGGTCCCTCCCATTCGGGCTGGAGTTAAGTGTAGGACACGGATTCCCTGTCCTGTCATATTGCTACATGGAGACCAAGATGATTTAAAAAAAAAAAAAAACAAAAACAAAAACCTTCTAATGTCCTTTCCCATTCCTTGGTCCTGGAAAACAGGAAATAATTTTGTTTTTGTAGAGAGAGAACATCTAGCCAGGTCTGTCTGCAGACCACATGAAAACCTGCTGCTCCTCTCGGGCCTGGCTCTTGTTTTGACTTTGCCATTTGCTAGCTGTGTGATGCTGGCCCTCAAAGCCTATCTCTGAAGCCATTTCCTTTTATTTATCTTATTTTTTGGAAATATGTTTTTATTGAGTTTTTTAGAGGTAACCAGGGCCAGCTGAGGCTTGTGCTGCCGGTAGTGGCAGCAGCAGAGGTGTGATGGGGCCATTGCCTTCCCCTGATCACCTGGTTGCTTCCCACCCCTGAGGGCTCCCAGACTGTGAGAGGGGGAAGGCCATGCTGAGGGACCCCCCTCATGCACTGGGCTTCTAGTACTTAGATAAACAACAATTCCATGTGATCAATTTATTATTTCCCTAAATTAAAGGTAAATTCTTTCTTTGGAAAACGAATCTATGATCATATGGCTTCTCTTCTCAAAAAAAAAAAAAATAGATAATATTATTTGATTTTTAGTAGTAGAAAGATGATGAATTTGATAGAAAATCCGAAGTATATAATGTGAATAGAGAAGGGGATAGACACATTAACACTGAGAGAGAATCATTGATCTGCTGCCTCCTGCACACCCTATCCTGGGCTCAAACCCTTCACCAGGGCCTGTGCCCTGACCAGGAATCGAACTGGCGACCTCTTGGTTCCTGGGTCAACACTCAACCACTGAGCCCCACCTGCTGGGCCGGAGCGGTTTCCTTTTCAATGGGGGTTTGGGCTGGATGATAATAACTGATATCAGTTTGTGTGTGCAACACAAATCCATTTGGACTCCGTTTGCCATTTAGAGCTTCATGGTCTGGGTCTGTGTCTCGGTTTCCTCATCTGTAAAATGGGGACAGCATTCGTACCTGCCTGCTGGGGCGGTTGTGAGGATTAACTGAGCTCACGCACGTGAGGCACTCAGACCTGTGCCCGGTGCCGTATGGCCTCAGGCCATCAGCACCACCACCATCGCCTCCTCACGGCCTCCTCTCAACCTCAATGAAAGGACTCCTTTCCCCTCGTGCAGGTATTTAAGCTTTGACTCCTCACCTGTTGACTGACTGCTGGAGCCAGAGTCTACCTGTAGGCTTTCCCAATGCACACGTCCGTTCCACATGGACACGGAGACCACTGTCAGAGGCCCACGGCACCTTTCCTCCTTAACTCTGTGGGACGGGGAGACTTGGTGCTGGGGCTCTGCTGTCTCCCCAAGGCCAGGGCAGGCTTTTCCTGGGAGGCTTTCCTTGGAGGCCCAGCCCCCAGGGGAACTGAGGAGACCGTGTGTCCAATGGCCTCTTCCTACAGAAGACTGCTCTGTGCAGAGAGAAGGGGTTCCCTTCTCTGGGCCTGGTCAGAACCCCAGAAACCACCCCTCTCCCACAACGCCCCCCTCACCTGGCCACTCACTCCCCAGCTTATACTCCCCATGACCCGCTTCCTTCCGAGCAAGAAATGACCAAAGTTGGGCAATGAAGTCACTAAAACTGTTGTCATAGTGGATTTTTCCTAAATGAAAAGGAGCCATATTCATGTCACGGAGACGCTTCTGAGAAGGCGTAGCTGTTCTTTTAAGAGCCTTGCTTCTGCGCCAATGAAAAATGGAATCCGGCCTCCGTAATAAATTCTTAAGACTCACACACACAGAACTTCTCAAAACAACGTTCCCCAGGCCTCCCCACCCGCCCTGGCGTTTTAACAACGTCCCATCTGTTGATGTCCGTCTGCAGGGGCGAGCCTGGACTCGCCAGGCTTATTAAAACCCTTTCTGGCTAGTGACCTGATTGCTCCCAGGCTGGCCAGCCCAGCCTGGGCCTCCGGCCCACGGGCCCGTGTCCATGTGCGTGGCTGTCAGACACGGAACGGTGAACCAGAGATCTGTTGAGCTTGTGCTTCCTAAGAGATGTTTCCTCCTGCTCTTGTTCCTCGTGGCTGAGGGTGTCTGTGTTTGCACCAAAACATCTGGACACCATTGACCTGTCTCAGCTCAGTCTCAGGCCGGGTGACATCCGTGGTTTCCATGTCAGTCGATGACAGCGTCGTATGTTGAAACGTATGATTGCCGTGCAAGGAGCCAGGGAAGGGGAAGAGGCGGCTCTGTTGTCACGCCTAAATGTCTTCACCCGTTTCCAGTCGCTGCTGTCAATTCGTTCCGTTTCATGCCGATTAGGGCTCCCTGTAAAATTGCGGTGTACATGTTTCTGGCCATTTGGGGAGAGGAAGCCACGGGTTTGCTGGCACCGAGGGCTCCATGTGGTGGGAAAGGCTTTTCCTCAAAGGCCCTCAAACATCTCCCGCTGATAGGAACTCTGTTTACTCTCCGAACGCAAGCAATGCACCATGGGAGTCTCCGTTCTGGAACTCCGCGTGCGGGAGCGGCCGCGGCGGTGTATATTTATCCGTTCAAAAGGTGCCCCGGGCCCCCAGGTCTTGTTAACACAGCTTGTCTAAATATAGCACCAGCAGCAGCAGTCGGAGGCAGCCCCGAAGTAATTAAGAAAGAGCAAGAAACAACCACCCCCACCCCCCACTCCCAGGCTCCAGAGTACTGCATCCAGCCCAGGATTAGCGCGAGATGAATGTTAATCACCCATCCTAAGAGGTCATGATTTGATTAAGGAGCTGGATCACTGCAGAGCCGTTCTCCTCTAGGACAGAGGATATCCGAACACAGGAAAACGGCGGATGGGAGATGAGGGAACGAGCCCGGGAGCAACCCGCTTTATCTGCTTCTCCTTTAGATCAAGAACGCCGCGGCCAACGTGCTCCGGGAGACGTGGCTCATCTACAAGCACACCAAGCTGCTCAAGAAGATCGACCACGCCAAGGTCCGGAAGCACCAGCGGAAGTTCCTGCAGGCCATCCACCAGTGAGTGTGGGGGGAGGCGGGGCCGTCGGGCGGCCAGAGTAGGAGCGGTGGGGCCCGCCAGTTCGGTCAGTCCCTCCTTGTACGCTCAGAGGACAGGAGAACCCCATTCTGTCCCACTCCGTGAGCCCTGGGGGCGGTCACGGGGACCCAGGCCAGTCTGTGTACTCATTGGGTGCACCTGCCACTGCCAGACACTGGGCAGGCTGCCATGGGAGGTGAAAATTAGAGCAAGAGGCTCTGAGGGTTCTCACAGTTCACACACATACACACCCACACACACCACTTTGCGAGTCAAAGCAGAACAAACTGTGGTCAGTGCTTCCTATAAGAGACATATATATGTATATATATATATATATTTTAAAATATATTTTATTGATTTTTCACAGAGAGGAAGGGAGAGGGATAGAGAGCTAGAAACATCGGTGAGAGAGAAACATCGACCAGCTGCCTCCTGCACACCCCCTACCAGGGATGTGCCCGCAACCAAGGTACATGCCCTTGACTGGAATCGAACCCAGGACCTTTCAGTCCGCAGACCGACGCTCTATCCACTGAGCCAAAGCGGTTTCGGCGAGACATACGTTTTTTTAAGCATAGTGCTAAAATAGAGGATGGAAACCGTTATTCTGACCTAGAAGCTCTGGGGAAACCCTGAAAGGCCGAGAGGAGGGCGTCCAGGGGGAAGGCAGAGCCTCCACCAGGGGTGGGGAACGCCCGGCCCTCGGGCCTCAGAAGGCCAGGGAAATCACTCGGTCTGGCCCTGCCACGGCACGAGGGGTGCGTTGATGAAATGTTTGACCAAATAGAGGCAAGCTAGTTTTTCAGTGGATCGTTTTTGTGGCCCAAGAATGATGTTATAAAGATCCAAATGGCCCCTGGCAGGAAAACAAAAACAGTTCTCCACCGCTGGATAGACAGACAGGGCATCGATGCCAGAACATGGCCTGGGTGTAGTGAGAAGCCAGCGTGCCGAGAGGCAAGCATGCATGCAGACAAGAATCTGCTGACTGGGGACCTGACAAGCCCTTGATTCTGGTCAGCTGTCCGCCATGGGCGAGGCCCCGTGCTGGGTTCCAACACCAGACGAGCGGCTGGGGCAGTGGGCCTGCCTGTGGGGCTGTCCCTTCACGTGCTCCTGAAGACTGTGGCCCTTCCCGCTCTTTCCCGCACGCAGGCTGCGGAGCGTCAAGATGGAGCAGAGGAAGCTGAGCGACCAAGCCAACACCCTGGTGGACCTTTCCAAGGTGAGTGGCAAACTCTGAAGCCGTCTCTAACGCGTTCTCGGACGCTGGCGTGTAGCCTCCCCCGGCGTGCTCTGTGTCCGCTCCGTGAGGGAGCGCAGGACGAGGGAGGCACTGAGCGGCGCCTCCTCCGGTGAGAACCCGCCCGGGGCCAAGCCCTTGGCACCTGCAGTCTCCTCGTGCGTCTCGGTGCCTTTTAAAACCTGGCATTTGTTTCTTACGTTCCATCTGCCTCGGCTTGGAATTAATTAGCCGGCCTCTCCCTCTCTGCAGTGCGTGGCTTTCTTAGCTGTGCCCTGAGGGCTCCTGAGAGGAGCTCGGGTTTGCACAGGGCAAAGCACACCGAGGAGGGGGACGGACGGGCGGTGATGGCCACAGCGCTGCCGAGGTCCCCCGGGAAAATCCTTGCGGTTTGCTGGGATCATTGGACAGGCATGTTCGTGCATCCTGCGGTCCTTCCAGCCCAGCTTTGCTCGCCTCACGTCAGGGGTGGGGTGCATTTCTTTTTTTTCCTCATTTTTTTTAAATTAAGGTATTATAAGACTATACTTTCAGGGATCAGTTCTATAGTTGGTTAAATTAAGGTATTATATGTGTACATACCTTACCCATCCCCACCCCACCCCCACTCCCATACATGCCCTCCCTCCCCAGAGTTTTTCGTCCATTGGTTATGTTGATAGGCATGCATACAAGTTGCGGTAAATTTCTCTGCTTCCCAAGAGGCAAATGGCCTTTGATGAATGCTAAGATGCTAAAAAATGAGACCCGCCCTTGAGGACCCCGGGGCTAGAAGCGTTTCTGGCCCTGAACCGCTGTGAATACTGTAAAGAAACTCGCTCGCTCCTCTTGCCAATCACTGGTGCGGCTGAGTCCAGGCGCCACTGAGCAGAGGGCCTTCCCACCTCCGTTCCCCACGCCCCCCGCCCCCATCCTCCATCCCCCATCCCTCCCGCCCCTCGCAGGCCCTCGCTCTGATTCCTGACAGAAATTATATATCATGTGGGCAGCCCAGGGCCAGCCTCGCAGGCGATGCCAGCAGATGTCAATTACCATAATGGCACATGCTCCCCGGGCAAGCGGGAGAGACTCCCTCCGGCAGATTTAACGCCCTTTGAAAGGAGGGTGCAATCAGAGAAATGGCAGGCGGCGCTGCGCCACGTGCAGGCGCCTTGTTCAGAGAAGGGATCCAGCCGGAGAGAGGGCCTCCCAAGCCCCCGGGGAGCGGGGGGCTCCCGCCGGGGACGCGTGGCTTGTGCAGGGAGAAGCCCCAGGCCTGTGTGCCTCCGGAGGGTGCAGAGGTGGCGAGTGGGGCTCCCGAGAGCCTGGAGGACGGGGCGTGCGGAGGGAGGGAGGGAGCTCCCTGGGGATCTGGGGGTGCCCGTACCAGACACCTGCTGGGACTCAGTTTTCGAATGGAGGCTTTTGTCATCAAGACACAAGGAAGGCTCATTCCAGGCAGAACCTCAAGGCAGGCAGGTGGTCGGACCGGAGGAAGGAGCTCACTGCAGCCCACCTGGGAAAGTCCTTCTGCCCTTCTGTTCCCTCCTGCCCACGTGCCCGCGTCAGCTCTCTCTCCTGCCCTCCCCCGCCTCTCGCCCCTGACGTCTCTCCCCCCCTCGTCCCCCGTCTCTCCCTCAGACCACGGCAGGTCCCTGGCCGGAGAGTCAGTCTTCTGGTTCTGGCCACAGGCAAAGGCAAGCAGCTGCCTGTGGATCTTCGTGCTAACCTCTCCCGGAGAGAGAGGACTGGCTGGCTTGGGCCCTGTGTCCACCCTGGGACCCATCCGCTGTGGCCAGGAAGAGGGTCTTGGGGGCCTAACAGGGCTTGGGGCCCACCCTGGGGGTGCAGGAATGGCCCGACATCGGGCCCCAGGATATTTCCTCCAGAAGCAGCCATGCTTCCTGCCTCACCGCTCACCTGGGAGGAGTTCTCCCAGGACCATCAGGCAAATGGGGCTTTTCCAGCTGCTGCTCCTCAGCGCCACCCACAGCCTCTCACGGAGGTGGGGCCGGCGTAGACAGACGGGGTGAAGCCAGAACTCGGTAAACTGGAAAGAGGTTCCTGTGCGTGGGGTGGGGAAGTGACCGTGACTAATCTGGAAGTGAGCTACCTGGAAGGAAGGGGATGGAAGAGAGGGCCGAGGGGGACAGCTGCAGGGCAGGCGCCCTGTGAGGCCTGGAGAGGAGAATGTGGCGGCCATCCAGGCCGTGTCTTTTCTCCGGGAGACCCCCCACCTCTCCCCCCACCCCGAGGTCCTGGGAGCAGCTCAGCATGTCTCCCATCCGTCCACCTTCCCTGGCCTCCAGTCACCAGGCAGCACACAGGGGAGAGGATGGTGCCGTGTTCTCGCCCTTTCTTTGCTGTGCTGCTTCTCCCTTCCAGCTGCCCAGCTGCCCAGTGCCCAGCCCTGCCTTTTGGTCCCCTCCCCCTTTCCCCCAGCTGAGGAGTGCCAGGTGGCTTGGTGTTGAATGCAGGAGGGCAGGGCTGGGGGGCCTTGGGACGTGAAAACAATTCCTGACCTCGGAGGCGTAGTGATCATATGAGAAGTCTGTAAACTCTCCTAGTAAAGGGTTTGCGAACGGTAGTTCTGATGGGGAACATAAATGAGGAACTCAAGATCCAAAGGAGCAAAGCGACCGGCTCTCCACGGTCAGGCAGTAGGCCCCGGGCAGCGCCGGGGCCGAGACCCGGGGCCACCTAATCAGGGTGCCCTGAGGCCTGGCTCATCGGAGTGCCCTCTGGCCTGGCTCATCCGGGTGCCCCGCGATCAGATGTGTCTGTGGTTTTGCACCTTCCGGGAAGGCGATCCCCTGAGGAGGTGCTTTGCTGCTAGTGATTGGTCAAGCGGTCATTCTGGCCATTCCACCGTCAGGGTCAATTTGCATATTACCCTTTTATTATTTGGATATGCATCCCTTTTGTAACAGCGGAGAGAGAAACCCAGCGTTCCCCTCGAGTCTCCGTGTCTCCCGGAAAGTTCGCTGCTGCTGCCTTGGCCACGCCAGGCGTGGCCGGGTGGGAGTTACTCTCGTTGGAATCTGGAGGCATCCTCCATGTTCACCCCTGCAGAGTGCTCCATGCTGACCTGTCGTCTCCTGTCTCCCGTCCCTCCGCCTCTTCCCCCCCAACCCCACCCCCAGATGCAGAACGTCATGTACGACCTGATCACCGAGCTCAACGACCGGAGCGAGGACCTGGAGAAGCAGATCGGGAGCCTGGAGTCCAAGCTGGAGCACCTGGCCGCCAGCTTCAACTCGCTGCCTGCCCTCCTCGCGGACACGCTGCGCCAGCAGCAGCAGCAGCTGCTCTCCGCCATCCTGGAGGCCCGGGGCGTCAGCGTGGCCGTGGGCACCGCCCGCACCCCACTCTCCGACAGCCCCATCGGGGTCAGCTCCACCTCCTTCCCGACCCCGTACACGAGCTCGAGCAGTTGCTAAATAAACCTCCCCGCCCCGGAAACACTGCCCATAGGTCTTACGAGGCAAGCGGACTCTCTCCTGGCCCCCTCGGCCGTCCAGGAGCACGGAGACCGGGGGATGCCAAGAGGAGCGTCCGAGCTACGTGACTAACTCATGCTCATCTGGCGTGCTTGGTTCGAGATGCCTTGAAACCAGAAATCTAATCTCTGTTTAGGTGCCTCTACTTGGAAGCAGGAAGCTGCGCTGACAGGAAGCGACACCTCTGGCAGGGCCCTTGCCGCAGAGCTGGTGGAGAACAGAAATCCACGCTCGATCTCAGGTGTTCACGGCGGGCGTGGGCGAGTCCCGTGCCCCGAGGCAGCCGACCGGGGACGCTCAGGAGAGGGTCCCGCTGCGGGAGGGGGCGTGCGAGGCTCGGGGAGGGGGCTCCTCGCCGCTGGGGTCCTCGGGCACACCTCTCTCTCTCTTTTCCTTTTGTCCGAGGAAGCCGCTGGGTGGCATAAGGAAAAGAGAGGTGCCTACGACTTGCCAACACAGTCATTCTTCCCGCCCATAGCTTATACAATCAGAAAGCCCAATTGAGATGGAAAAAGAAAAAGAAAGGAAACAAAACAAAAATACCCAGGAAAAGAAAAAGCCAGATTTTCCATCCAGTATCAATACCCATAGAAACCTGTGTGTTTTGCAAGAGCGTGTGCGCCCGCGCGCGCGCGCGCACACACACACACACACACATCATTCAACCCAGGTATTTTCTTGTTTGAACTTGACCCAGATGAAAAGGGGGCCTGGTCCCTGCCCCTGCGCACAGGAGGCACTCTCTCCGTGTGTGTGGTGTGGGTCTGGATGCGTCCCGTTCAGGGAGCTTGCTGGCGTTGGCCATGCGCTGAGCTTCCCCGAAGAGGCAGGTCCCTTCAGACACGGCCCAGGTTGCTTGTTCCTGGAAGCACACCAGTTGCTGGGTCGGAGGTGATTGCCAAAGCTTTGCAGAGTTTCCTTCTTAGATCCAAATGAGTCCTGTCCCTGTGGAGCACGTGACCAGGGGTGTGCATGTGGGGGGCTGAGGGCTGGGGTCCACACAGGCACAAGCAGACGCCGCCCGGTGACACCTGAGTGAATAGACGTATTGTCTGGAGATTCGCTCCATGAGGCTTAGGCTAAGACGGGTCTCCGGGTCCAGGTGTTAGAAGTACCAAGGGGCCCAGCGCCCCAGGGTGTCCCTTCTACCGGACCTGAAATCTCCTCCACATGAAATGTTATGAGAATAAAAGGAGCCCTTAGGGAGCCTTGTGGGTCAGGTGAGATGACATGGGTTTGTCAGGAGCCTGTCCCGAACTAGTCTAAGATCTCGCCAGCTCCAAGGGACTCCAGAAACATCACCGTCCAGGGCAGGGACGGGCATTGTGAGGAGGGGGCCGGCGGGGAGCAAAGTCCTCCCGGGGCTCCGCGACCCCATGTGTCACGTGGAAGCCATCGTGTCCCTCATCACGTTCTCACTCTGAGGTCTCTGACATCTGCTTGTGGGGAGCTGTGCGGTGCTGCATGGAGTGTTTCATCTGTTTGGGGTCACGCAAAAGGGTGTCCGGGAGTCTGGTGGCCCTGCTGGCCTTCGCTTTGCGCTGGCCTGGTCTCCCAAGGACAAGGGGACCAGTAAAAGGTAGATCACTCTAGAACTAAGGCCACTCTTTTTTGTTTTTTAATCCTCACCTGAGGATATGTTTTTATTGATTTTTAGAGAGAAAGGAAGTGAGAGAGAGAGAGAGAGAGAGAGAGAGAGAGAGAGAGAGAGAGAGAGAGAGAGAGAAAGGCATTGATCAGTTGACTCCCAATGAGCCCGGACTGGGATTGAGCCCACAGCCTTTTGGATGTCCAGGATGACACTCCAGTTCACTGGCAGGGGAAACTAAGGCCGCTCTTGCTAAACATTTTTTTAAACCTATTTTAATTGGTGTTGCTGTTCCTTCCGTGGTCTCCTGTTTATTCTGATAATCCACTGGAACATCTTCATTGGTTGTTTTGCACAGCCCAGATGCCGCCCTTGCTGTTGGCTTTTTATGTTTTAACTCTTGACTCTCTGGAAGACTTCTCTCCGTTTTTTGTGTCCCAAGAACGGTGCCCCTGCTTTCAGAGATGGTTCTGCTGAACAGATAAGCCAAATGTGTGAACAGATGAAACGCCCATGCAGTCTCTTTAAAGCGTCGGTTCCATCTCACGAAGTGAAGACCATGGGCAGGTCACGCTGACGGTGCCACCTCTGATCACTGAACCGACAGCCCTCACCTCTTCACTCCTATTCACCCTTTCCACTCTGCTCAACGCTGGGATGTGTGTGTGTGTGTGTGTGTGTGTGCGCGCGCGCACACGCGCGCACATGCGTGCACGCCCACATATGCACACAAATAGCAATTTATTATTCATTCCAAATAAATGATGTACAAGATTCCACTGCCATTCCCCCCACCCCAAAAGTATGCACAGACTATGATTGACCCATCCTAGTCTGTGGATGAATCTTCTAGAATTCATCACGAATGTTGTACACTCAGTGAAGCGCTGAAGACCAAGCTAGCAACCCTAGTCAAGGGTGTGGTTGGAGCTATTCCAGTAGCTGTAGCCACTGGCATTCTAGAAACACACGGGCGTTTGGAGCATGCCTGGACCTATTGGTAGTGCAATCGCTATGTATGGGTTTTATTGTTGGCAAAAGAATATTTAATATCCCCCCACCCACCCCCAGAAAAAGGTGATCAAATCTGCATGTTGATCCTGCAGTGGTAAACGGAAGGCTGCTTCTCTGTGCTATAATTCAACTTTATGTGGGAAGTTACCCATTCTCCTGCAAGTACAATCAACCCTCGATGACTTAGGTGTGGATGATCCCGGGTAGGTTACCCAGGGATTCCTCCTACAGCCAGTCCTTTGACTGATCCCACTGTGCTCCAGCATCAGTCAGAGGGGGAAAGAGGGCAGGCAGACTCTCATGCCATGCCCTCTTGTTCCTTATTTCCAAGTTGGATGGTGGAGGAGATTTAATTAAGAATTGGCTCTGGGTAAAAACTGCATTCCGATAACCCCTAATGCTGAGCTGGTTGAGGGCAGTTCACTCCTGGAAGGCTGACCCAGTGCAGAGTCCCCACAATAACCTTCGTGATGACTTGGTTACAGGTCTAATGTTCCCTAAAATATCTAGACACTTGAAAAAAAAAACACAAAAAAACAGGGCCATCCCCCTCCCCATCGCTTAAGCCATATTATAGCCCCACGTACTGTAACGTCAGGGAAGTACTGTGATACTTAGAGACCACGGATCTCAGTGGAACTTCAGGATAGAGCATCTGTTGGCAAATCATATCAGATGAGGGGTTCGCTCCTCCTTAGATTGAAGTCCAACAAGAAATCTCAAAGGCCACATGAGTCATCATGAATGAATTGTCATAAGGCATCTATAAACTGCTCTTGCAATCCTTAGACTATGTAACTTCATGAGTTCATATCTCTAAAAATGCTTAACCCGAGTGAGCAAGAGGCATAAGGCCCTGAGTCACCACACACTAGTGACCTCAGCAAGGACCAGTGGTGTCACAGCGATCACATAACTTAGGAAGTGGAGGTGCAAGTACATCCCAAAGTGCCAAGCAGCTGCAAGCTACTGTTTATTTAAGAATAAGAAAGAACCGAGTGGGAAAATGATGACTTTCCTATGTTTAAGAAACCCCCTCCCTTAGATTTCAGTCATTTCCTTGTAAACGAGTGATCCTGGAAAAGAAGAAAACTAGAGATTCCGAATCAGAATAGAATTCCAACACTGGATCCCCCATCTTCGGCCAATTAATATAACCATATCATACCTCAGTTTACCTGTACTTAAAATGAAGATTCTAGTTAATGTTATTAAGTACCAGGTATTCAATCAATTTTTTAAAAAATGGAATCACTAGTGCCATCAACAACAAGCCAGACCAAATCTCTCTGGTCCACACTTTGATGTTATATCTGAAGACAACCAGTAGTTACCAAAAAGTCATTATCCACAAGGCAGGGAGGGACAGAAGGGGAGCACCCAGCTCCAGGACCTCTCTGCTCTTCAGAGCGCACCCCGACAAACAGGGGGCCCCAATTAAGAGGCCATGTTGCACCACCATCACAGCACCATCACCACTGGGACACAATGAGAGCCTTGCACTACCAGTAGGTTACCACTCTTTGTAAGTTACTGCTTTTAAATCGTACACTACGTCCCCCGTTCCATCCAGTCTTTCCACTTCCCTGGAAGTTGCTGGGAAGCAGATGAAGGATCGTGAGTGGTCGTGTTTTGTTTTGTTTTTTTGCCTGCAGTCCCTATGGACTCCGCTGCGTCCGGTTTCAGGACCTTAGACAGCTCCCTGGTGGTCTCCCGGTAGGTGGTAGGCACAAAACAGCCCCTTCTCTCCCTCCCCCTGCAGTCAGACAGTTTGAGGACGCTCTGGACAGTCTCCCTTCTCTACTGCCACCAAAGTAATCATGGGAACGCGGCTGCTGGTCCCCCTAAGAAAGGAATGTTCCCGGAGAGTGATAGCCACAGTCCGCCTCTGGCATAGAACACAGGGGAGCGCTCTTGGTCCGGAAGGCTTGTGTGCCAGGTTGCGCCAGTAGGAATTCACATTCGACTCCTGTCAGACACGTGAGATGTAGCTATGTAACTGGCATAGGCCGGAGCGTGTTGAAAAGTATTCAGTGCAATGGTGTCTTCTTCTGTAGACTAGGGGAGAATAACTGTGATCTTTCTTTCCTTACACCGTTACTGGAAGCGCCCACACACGAACTGGAGTTCCCTCTGAACAAAAACCATTATCCAATCTTCAACGTATGACCTCCAATCTAGGTGCCACGTGCCCCGAGACACGGATGGACACGCCCGAGAGTCCCATTCCGGGAGCTGTCCTCTCAGATCCGGCCCGTGTGTTGAAACAAACAAAAGAGATGTTTGGGACCAACCACGCGGATGATGGAGGAAAAGCACAAAATTTAATCTCAACCTG